AATAAAAGTATATTGATAAATGATAAAAACATCACAGTACAAAAGTAGATTTCCGAACACGAGAACGATTCTGCATCAGCAGCGATTTGACGACGACTAACTAAAAGGGTTGCTCTCGCGATAAACCAAAAATTATGCTGCCTAAGCAATATGGTTTTGTGGTAGACTGTGGTCCATAATATATATGGCTGAACTTATATTGATACTATTAAAAGCATTTTGATTATAGTCTTATTCTAACAGTCTAAATATGCTGAAAGTTTCATCAAAATCGCCCCGAATCCTCAGTGGTGCCAGCTTAGTGAATATCGATCTCAGAACTAAGGATTTTCACATAAAGCTACTACATTAAACATTGTTGCCAAATTTCTGTTGAAGTTTTCTGCGATTGTCGCAGCTTTCTGTGAGACTTATTACAGTTTGTTCTGTGCTCACCCTGTTTCGCAAAGTTTGCAAGATGATGTTCCAGTTTGGCGGCTTAAAAATTGAGCCACTCGTGCTCAGTGAACAATGATGCTGTAAGTATGGTATGGCAGTGGTACCAACCGTGGCAGTCACGTGGAACGATTAGCCAATAGGCAGGTGCACTGATCATATTCCGCTATTTTTCGCGGAATGTGTTTTTTGTAGGCGTTTAATCAATGCGAAGTGCGCGTTCCCATATCAGAACCCGAAGTAGGAATAACTTATTAAAATTCCCGGCCTGGCTGAGTACCACTGTACAGTAGCGGCCCATCGCTCAGTCCTGTTCAGCCTGAGTACTGCTGCGGGAATAAAAACAGTTTTTCTGGAGATTCCACGGAAGCAGTACCAATAGCGATCGGCAATACAGCCGCAATGCAAAACGACCAATTAGTGACCCCCCCGTTGAGGTACGACGGGCACTTTGTTGGTTCGTGCGTGAGATGGTACCCGCCTGATACCATTCACCTTCGCATCACGAATCGCTTACTGCCGGTTCTGGGTGCCTTTTTACGAATTTGCAGCCTTTCATTTAATAGATACGTTTCTTTACCGTACAATCGCCGGCAAATCATCAATTCTGATCTTTAACCAGGCAGTTTCTTTGTAGAAAATCCAGCGTTTTTCGCTGAAATGCTGATGGTTGAAGGCAACGGAAATTCGGAGCAATCAGTGGCGTAGCCACCGGGTGAAACCCGCCCACACAAGCGTGTAACGGCCCGTTGAATTTTCAGCGCCGCAGGCTTTCAGTACCGTACAGGGTGATTAAAAAATAAGTTGCCTGATTCGTTTGGGGAGAACATACACGAGAATTACCACTAGAAACTGAGAGATTGGCAAAAAACGCAATCGGAAATTTGGCAACGATGTACTGGATTGGACGCACCCGCAAATGGCGCTTTTCTCATGAATGTTACGTAAATGCCTGTTGCTTTGTGCGTAACTGGGCAAAGGGAGCAGGTGAAGCTCAAAGGCAATTAAACCATAATAATTTTATTGATTGGATGATAAATTCGTCAGTTTAAACAGTTGCATCCCGGCCCCTCCATTGAAACTGCTCAGTTTTTACAATTTTGAAACCGTAGTGAAAACGAATTTCTTCCCGACGTCGTCCTGAAGTTGGTTGTGGCGACACTACGGGTTCCACCTTAAGAAATAATGAAAAGCTTCTCAAGGTTCCCGTGTTTTCACGAGTCATCAACCTTTCCATCCCACCTCGTAGCGAAACTGACGTAGTCCCGCTTTAGTCAGGAGAGAGAAAAACATCGGGGTTGCCATGGAAATCAGTCTGTTCTTGTCGCACGCTGCCGATATACCAGGGTCCGTTCAAAATAGCAGACACTTTCAGCACAAGTGAAACAAAAATCTGTCAATTTCCCCATTCTGCTGCGTAAGTGGAAACGCCTACTCGAAGTATGTAATTCCGGCTCGGACATTGTAAAAATCCTGATCCATATTAAATAAACGAGTTCTTCTAGCCGGCCCATAATGGGCGATAAAACATTTTAAATTATCGTATAAACAA